AAAAAAAAAAAAGAATTCAAGCCCCACAAACAACAACAACAAAAAAAAAACTAAATAAAAATTTAATGAGGATATCTCAAAGAATAAAATATGTGGATTTATTCTTTAGAGCCAAACTTGGGATGCCACAGTTTTTGAGTCCTGAAGCCCAGAGTCTTTTGCGAATGCTTTTCAAGAGAAACCCTGCAAACAGATTAGGTAAAAATTTTAATTAAAATTTGTTTCTTTTGTATATTTGTGTTTGGATGTTTCTTGGGAGGGGTGAATATATGTTTTTTATGTTGGTATTTAGACAAATATTAAAGGCAAAGACAAAAATACACACATACATATATATCTATAGATAGGTAGATAGATAAAATCTCCTTGAAATAAAACTCTCATTCAATTTTTAATAGGTGCAGGACCAGATGGAGTTGAAGAAATTAAAAGACATTTATTTTTTTCAACAATAGACTGGAATGTAAGTATAATATGAAAATTTGCTTGAGGGATAGAGATATCACTCAGTAGAGTACTTGACTAGCATACAAAAAGTCTCAGTTCCATCCACACCAAAAATACTTGCTTGAAATATTTTTTATAATTAGCATATATCTGAAATATTTCTGTTTTCCTACAGAAACTGTACAGAAGAGAAATTCACCCACCTTTTAAACCTGCAACTGGCAGGCCCGAAGATACATTTTATTTTGATCCTGAGTTTACTGCAAAAACTCCCAAAGGTAAATAAAAAGTATAAAAATGTATTCAAGGTAGTAGAACGATTACGGCATAGTTCAAATAAATAGTACATTGCCTACCTAACAAAAAGGCTCAGAGTTCAAACCCCAGTACTCACCCTCCTCTGCAAAAATAAGACAATGTATAAATCTACTATTCAATCAAAAAATCTTTTCCAAGGCAATTCTTTATGCTAACCTTGAGTCTCCTAAATTTGCTATATATCAACCTTTTATCTTCCTCCCATGTAGGAACCATAAAGAAATAATAACAAAGCTGGTTGCCTTTGGCTCATGATTGTAATCCTGGTTGTTCAGGATGCTGAGATTTGAGGATTATGGTTTGAAGCCAGCCTGGGCAGGAAAGTCCATGAGACTCTTATCTCCAATAAACTACTCAGAAAGAGCCAAAAGTGGCACTGTGTCTCAAATGGTAGATCACTATCTGTGGGCACAAAGAGGCTCAGGGACAGTGCCCAGCCCTGAGTTCAAGCCCCATGACCAGAAAAAAAAAATAGTAACAAGCAAAATGGGATTGATTTTCCCGGGAAAAGTTCTTAAACCACCAGAACAAACGCTCAGATATTATTCTTTCTTTTTCTTACTAAGTTTTATTTTATTTATTTTTTTGTCGGTCATGGGGCTTGAACTCTGGGATTGGTCACTGTCTCTCAGCTATTCAGCTCAAGCCTAGCACTCTACCACTTGAGCCACAGCGCCACTTAATAGTTTTCTGGTGTTTTATTGGAGATAAGAATCTCACGGATGGACGGGGCTGGGAAGGTGGCTCAGTGGTAGAGCGCTTGCCTTGCATGCCTGAGACCCTGGATTCGATTCCTCAGCACCACATAAGCAAAAAGAAAAAAGCCGGAAGTGGCGCTGTGGCTCAAGTGGTAGAGCGCTA